TGACACACTGAAGGCGTGTTTTTGCTGCAAAGGAGAAGGAAGCTGCAGTAGCTGTCAGCAGCCCAGACGTGTATGGAGAAGGAGAGTGACCCCGAGGTTACGAGTCTGAGTGACAAGGAGGATGCGGCGTTATCAAAATCAGAAGTGAAGAGAGATTTGGAAGAAAAAGTAAGGAGTTCTGTTTTGCCCAGATTAGGAATGATCTGAAGGCAAAACAACCAGGATTACGTGTCAGGGAGGCAGTCAGATATGCAAGACTAGACGGAACAGAGCAGAGGGCTTAAGAGTTATTGGCAGAGAGATGATAGCCAAATCCGTGTAACTGGATGTTGTCATCCAGGGACGCGGGTACAGAAATCTCCAGGTAAATCAAGGAGTGACTAAATCCCTTCCCTGCCACCTCACAGAGGCTCCTACCTAGTTCCAAAAGAAATTATCTAAAATAGTGCTGCAAAAACATGCATAAAAAAACCTGTCTCTCCATAAAATCTAAAGATCATACTGTTTCTAAAATTAGGGCAACCACTAAATGAAAGTTAACCCGAACAATAACTTTAGCTAAACTTCAGGTCACATGCATTTAATATAATGAGATGAAGAATATGAAAAGGCCATTCATAATAGAATTCATCGAGTTAGGAATGCCATGCTTAGCTGCCTTATAACATATAATTAATGATCCTATAAAAATCCAGCAGTACGAACTCTCCTGGCTGCCCGCAGAACTGTTCTTTATGCTGGGTAGGGCAAGCAAGCATCTGCTTCCACAAATACTGCCCTTTGAGAAGCTGAAAAGCTTTTTTTCCCCTGCTCCATCAGGGACCACACTGCCATTTCCCTGACACGCTGAGCTTTGAACCGTTACCCAAATCAGACTATAGCATTTGGCAACCCAGTACACATCTGTCATGATAGACTGGTTATTGGTTAAATGTTAAAGAAAAAGTCATTAACTCTTTTCCGTTGCTTCCACCTTCCTCTAGATTATTTATAATCCCCACTAAACCCACCCTCTGTTTATAGTCTTTTAACACAACAGAGAAATACATACTGTCTGGAGAGCCATCTTGCCTTATACCACTCCCAACCATTTGGTACAACAAAAGACGTTCCCTCTCCATCAAAGGCCTGATCCCTCCTGAAGCCTTGATGCTCAGATTCAAGGTTAAAAGATTAAGGCCTCAAGCATTGAGTACCAGAGGAAAGGAAGCCAAATATCAAAAGAAACACAAAAATCAATCCTCTTCACCACAGGAGCAGTGTGAAGAACAAATCAGCTGGGCTGAATCTAAAATTTTCTCTGCGTGGCTCTCAAAAATTAGCACTGTTACAAACATAATGGGTAGTTCTGCAAAGCCTCAGCACCCACGCAAAGCCACAGAGTTCAGCTCAACACACCAGTACGGTCCGGAAAGTTTTATGTCAGAATAATTCAGTGGCAAACACACCAAGTCCACTTCAGAGAAAGTGAGAGCTGAAGAGCGAGCGAGAGCACGCGTGCCGTTATCTTCATATGTAGTCTGTATATCTGCAAGTGGCAGAATCTAATATTTACTGGAGTTTGCCTTTTGCTTCAATTCTCTGTGTGCTGAAGCGCAGCCAAGGTCACAGGAGGGGTGGGGGAGTGGGTTTAGCTTAGTGCAGCTGTAATCATGGCCAGAACAGCAGGGTACAGAGGATTTCTTGCTTAACTTTGTAATACCAATAGCTTTTGTTCTTAGTCCTGCCCCATCGGTTCTGATATAAGCTTCTAAATGGCGTGAAAGTTGTGCGGGTGGGTTTAAAACCTTCTAATTTAAAACTACCTTCCAGAACATTTCGTTTTAGAAGATTTTTCTTAACTTTTCCAACTCACAAATTTCTGGGACATAGGAATATCTAGATTAAACATAATTTTCTCTTCATCCAAGATTACACATAAAAATAAAAAGTAACAAAATGCTATGTCTGAAAAAGTAATTCACTCCAATTTATAAAAATAGAATTCAGGTTTTCAAAATTCAATTCAGGCAGTAAACTAACAGTGTCTGCATTTTCCTGTAAAGAAGGCATCTGCAAATGACTTGCAAAAATGTCTCTCACTGTCTGCAAGTGTTGGCAAGGAACAAACTTCTTCAGGAGATGCATGAATTTTAAATATTTCAACCCAAAGAAAAAAAAAATCTCCGAGCATTTTCAGTTCTGATATGTGATATTACAGAACCATACCCATGCAGAAGACTGGCAGGAAATGCAAGTTTTGTGAAAATACCAAAGCACTCAAGTTTTAGCAAGCCCATTTTCACTGATTGCCACCCTGTGCTTAGGAGTATTTCTAACACCAGAGTTCCTGTACTTCTTGAAGACCTCACCTACAGGTTGGCTCCATCTGCCTATGGCAACTACTTAACGGTATCTCCTACTCACATCTTATATCTCAAGTCTACCAGTAGGCTTCCTGCTCAAGGTTACTTTGGACTGTGAATGGAAACGATGCAATACTGCTGTGTGCAGCATACCTGATCATGAGAATAGAATCAACATAATTCAGGTAAATGTAAGACAGGCAGCTTCAAAATCCTGTTGCAGCCAAAAGTAAACCTGAAAATGAGATTGATGAAGAAACCAGGTCAGCAGAAATGTACTCCTCACTCACGAGTCCGACAAGGATCACTGCCTACCTTAAAATAAATAAATAAATAAATGCATAGGTATGTGTGAAGAATTGCCACGCACCCCTCATTCAGCAACAAGCCTTTAGTAACGACATCAGAACAAAAGCCTTCACCCTGCGCAAGAAAACCTACTGCCTTTCTAGTCTGCATGTGGCACTAACGAAGCAAAAATGCGTATCTAACTCCAACTATGCTCTCCTGTTACGTCACAACAGACTCCGGCAGCCATCTGTTGGAGGGATGCAGTGGCTATATGTAGCCAGACAATGACATGTGAGAAAGAAAAACTCATATCTGCACCTAATTCAACATTTGTACTATTGGCAGATCTGCAAGCACTTTTTTTACCGGCCAAACAAGTGTTCGCTCCACAAATATCCTATCTAAAAATGACACAAACTCAACGTAAAATTATCTGGAACAAGAAAGCAACTTGGGTGTTAAAAGGAGCACTAACAAGTGGGTAAGAGGCTTCCAGATACACAGATTTTATGGGCCATTTGCAAGCACAGTTGATTTCAGCCCAATTTAATGTGCCAGTCTGCCAAAATAGCTAAGAGATGAAAAAAATCCCAACAAACTGTATTCGATACATTCCTAAAAGTTGTCCAAGAACTATATAGATGCACCTCAAGAGACCAAGGACAACTCATAGACGAGCTGAAGTCCGGGAGGTCTTGGACAAGAAGTCAGTTGCGGCACTGGTGAGTTTCTCCTCCAGAGGCTCAGGACAAGAGTAACAGAAGGTGACACACGCACGCCAGCATGAAGAATCAACAAGGAAACTCCAAATAGGAAACAAAATGGGCGCTACCACTGCCATCATTTTTTAAATATCAGTTCCCTTCAAAAACGGGAGTAACGGGGCCGGTGCGAGCCAGGTCAGAGGTGGCAGAGCCGTGTGAGTGCCTGTGATTTTTATTTTATTTCTAAATTAGTGGCGGGGGGAAGGCTGTGGATATGCCTGGGACAGCAGGGGGAGCTGCGAGCCTGCGCTCCTCGGCACATCTCTTCAATCGCCTGGAATATTTGGACAAAAACAGAGAAGTATGCTTGCACATCACCAGAGAAAGATGTCTGCATGTCTAACAAGCCACAAAATAAATCGAGTTCATAACAAAGCATTAAACAAGGAGCAAGAGATAATTGTCACCTTCTCTCACAAGATAATAAAAATAGTTACACCATAAACATAAAAATCTTTTAAAAGACCCCTGACAGCATTTCCTCCTGGAAATATCACCATAGCAATGAGCATTCAAATAGGGGGAAAGTACTGCTGAATTCTGTGTTTGATATTTTCAACTAACTAAAAATACAAACTGGAAAAAATACACACGGGTGATATAGAATGAAGCACACACACATAAAAAGCCTTCAACGAAATTAAAGATGGCAAATTCCACCTGCAAATCTTTAACACTCAAAGGAAAGAAATCCTTTAACCAGGTAGCATACACGGAGAGAGTGCCTGCAGTAACTTTAAACCCATCCGATGGCTGCTGTATCCTATTGTTATTCCTACTTAGGACATTTTGCACAGGTCAGTGTAGAGGTGCAGCGGCAGTATTGTGGGAAATCTGAGGAAAAGGTGCATGTTAGACAGAAGAAAGCTGCACCGGTAGAGCCATATAGGAAGCCTAAGAATTGGAAAAGGAGAGAACCTTGTATGTTAAGATTTAGGCACACAGCACAACTCTGGGGAAGGGTACTTGCAAAGTCGCAAATTTTATCTTCTCTAGTTGGTGCTCTTAAATAGGTCTTATTTCCATGACATTCGGATCCAAAGTTAAGATTAAAGGAGAGAAGAGTGGCTTGTTTTAAAATTCCTCTCCCAGATGCAGACGTCGGGAGCGCACAACAAAAGCAGGTGCCGGGTGTATTGATCCTACTGAATAGGCATGGAGTGGGTACTTGAGCATGTACCAAGCATCTGCGCCTGGGAGATGGAAAGTGCTTTGCAAAAGGCTGTTTAATGCTAAACAAACGCATCAGGTTATGTTTTTATTTTGAATATTTTAAAGCATCTTCACACTGGGGCAGACTTGAAAAGAAATTATACAGACTACCAGACAACTTGCCATTAATTGTAGGAGTTACTGTCTCCATAGCTGGAAACTGGCTGCGGGCTCACTTAGGAGCACTCCAAGCTACTGAAAACCACCCTCAGTAAAACCTGCTCTGACTGCTGCACCTCAGAGAACTGTGGATCCTGCACCTGAGGACTCTTCAGGTCCCAGACTCCGGCCCAGCTGCACGCAGGCAAAGGGACAGACACATTTCTTCCCAACTGCTCTCCAACATTCCCAGCAGGGAAGTGGCAAATTCAACACTGCAAATTCGTACCGGGCTCATCTGAAGAGGCCGAGATGGACAACGCCTGCTGACTTCGATAATGAAAAAACCATAATGGCACACTTGGAAGAGAAAACAAAATAGGCATTCATTACAAAATTTAGCTATGGTTTGCAGTAGTCCCCAAGGTAAAAGTTTTCCTTTTCGCAGAGAGACGATGACCAAAATCTGTATCAGAAATCAAACTCCGTACTGTATTTGCTTGTGGAATCTTTTTTTACTTTTTCAAGGAGGGGAAAAAATTAATCCCTACAGGAGATGACAAGATGCCTTTTAAAGTACATATCTCATTTCTGACTACAATTACCTTTCAATAGCCTAGCACAGCTGCACGCTCCTATTTGCTTTTTGTTTTTCATTAAGGGCTCCTCTATTATTTGTACCCATCCTATAGCATTTATGCCTGGCAGTGATGCACATTCCCTTGCCTACGATTCTTCCCACAGATAGTAGAGAATAAATTGCAATTAGATTTTCGTAATTGTAGATAATTAACTCAAAATGAGCTGTTAATTATAAAAAAACCCTATCTTTTTCAGTTCTTGATTATATTATTTATTTTACTTCTAAACTCCAATATCTCACTTCAGCAAGTTTAGTATTTTAAAGCACTTTCACCATTTCCTTTACAATACAGGGGTATTTTTAAGCTAAGTTTTGCTTATTTGAAGACTGAAATCAAGTTTCACGCTGTGAGGTTTGCTAAAGGAGCTCTCATGTATGAACTGGAAGACAGAGAGGGCTGGTTTTCAATTAGAGCTCTGATAGCATTTGGTGTAACACGAACGGTCTGGCAGGTCAGTTAAAATCCAAATTTAAAAAAAAAACCAAACACCACCAAACAAAAAAATAGACTATTAAAAAAAAGGGTATATTCCCACTAGCTCTTCCTCCTTTCTGAGCTCTAGCCACACACACTTGCACACTCTCTCTCAATACTGAAGAAAACATTACTTACATATTCAAAACCTTAAAAGAGACAAATGGACTTGTCTTGCATAGCCCCTTTCAGCCTTACATTAGAGTAAATTATTTAGGGACCGTTCATCTGGTAACCTTTGCAAAACTGAAGATGGCATATAGGAAGAAAAACTTCCAAGTGTTTTGCTGCCAAACTTTGGAACCAGCTGGCATGGCAACTTGAGACTGCACGAACACATACTAACTTTGAAAAATTACAGCAAATTAAACCAGGGGAAAGAAGAGAGGGTGGGGAACCTTTTGAAATCTGGAACTCTCATTTTGTTAACGGCACAAGTTTTCCCCATTTTCCCTGCTAGGCTATGTAGATTTTTCCATGTTTTTGGTAAACTGTTGCTGAGAAGCCCGACAGATGTTCCGGGTTACGTTTTTCCTCCAGGGGAAATGGAGGAAAATGCTTAATGCTATTGCATCTTAAACCTATCATGACTCTCCGTCTCTTTTGTTACACTTTGATCACTCCAGTCTATATGAAAATGAAGCAAAAAAAAAGCTTCAGAATACAAGGAGGATGTACCAGTAACTCACAGCAGCCAAACACCTGGTTAAGCAGTGAAGCTTTCCAAGGAAACTAACAACTCCTGTTGTTCTGAAGAAAGAAGTCTTATGCCTTTTCAGTGAAAGAGACTCAACAAAATAAAGTAAAATCAGTATCACTTCGTGTTAAAAAAATAAGAAAGTATTTGACCCTTAGTTTATAAACAAATTAACAGTACTTCCAGTATTGCCATTGTGGAGAGAAAAGCTTATTATTTTGAAGTCCTCTCTTGTCACTAAAGAAGGAATCATTCAAAGGACAGCTGCTCTTCTTGTCCACCAAACAGGGGATACTTTGGTCAGAAGAACATTTGTAGTTAAAGCATAGAACAAGAAGCTGCTACTTTTTGAGAAAGGGAGAAAAACCCTGTCAAAGCCACAGATTTTAGTTATTGCATTTCTAATAAGCCTGAATCTTCTTCCAGTGGTAACAGGAAATGCGACAGGGTGAGACAGAAAGAAAACACAATAACATATTGATTGAAGTTTTAAATAGCATGCAAAATTGAGATAAAGAGCTAACTACTGGCTTAACTCCACTTACAGTTATTTCAGTGGTAGATTGCTCTGATTGCACTGATGCAGAGGTGCAACACAGTATTGTTTAAAAAAACAGTAATAACCATTACCAATTGTAAAATGTCTCTATCTGGGAGCTAAAGGCCAGATTATTTTTTACATCACGTCCAAATCAAGACTAAGGAAATGTTCTGATCCTAGTTGAAAAAATAACAAGCAATACCTAGAACAAAGAACAAAAGCCAAGATTTTGTGAAAACTCCATTTCGCACTGGGCTAGGCTAGTGTCCTTAAGAGAGGACAGGCAAAACCCGAGACCTCCGCAGGAAGTCAGCCCCTAAACCTTGAGTAGTAACAGGTCAGCGTAACTACTGAGTTGACTCATAAAACACAATGGCCAATGAATTTTACCCTTCCTGCAGAAAAAAAGCTCTTAATCTGAAACAAACACATGAACAAATACGCTTGGCAGCCAACAGCACACTGTCAAGAAGATATATCGACACAGTGAAGTACTTAGAAGTGAAGAGAGAAATTACCTTAGCCCCATGCTGTTGCCGTTGATCATCAGAGCAAGTTCTCCAGGTGCTTCATCAACAGGCACATCTTCTGAACCAGGTACATGGCCTCTAAACCTGAAAAAGCAGAGTTAGCTGGTTTTGCAGCTGGTCAAATCGTCACACCAGGAACTCCCCACAGAAAGGTGAGTTGTGTGACTGCAAACAGGGCACTTAATCACGTTAAATGCAGAAGCTTTCACAACTGTTTTCATGCTTATGTCCAGTGCCTTTGCTTCTGAGGGTTTCCATTGGGGAAATTATTAGAAAAATTTAATTTACTGATTTCCAAGGACCTGCTCTCTTACGAAAATGGTCCCAGTATCTACTAGGAAACATCCCTGTTAGGGTCAGATTACAGCTGCAGCAGCACCGGAGCTCAAAGGCATCATATGTAAATTGCATTAAATGTGTAAGTTCTCTGAGATGGTTGTGTCTCCCAAAACCATGAGCCCACAAATGATGCTCCATTTTTAATACCTTGCCCCACCTTTTTCTTCCTCTCCAATTAATATAGTAAATCCAGCACTATTCCCTTTTTATTTGAATAAAATTCCTGTTTCTAGGATTTACCCACATTTGTCTACATTACTGAGAAATAATATTTTGCCATTTCTGGAACTCTCTTCTATTCTGCTGTGGTTGGCATCAGGAGGAGT